AAAATAATGAAAAGTAAAGAGATTTCATGAATTAAATATCCAACGTATAATCACATTGCAAAGCCTTATATTGCTCACTTGAATTCTATTTGACTGTGTCCCATCGGAATATTAATTTCAGATTTAACGGTATCCGCCGGAATTGAAATTTTATATTCGTGCCTGGTGGTTGCAACGAGGTAGAAACGATTTTATTGAACGGAAGGGAAAGAAGCGTGTCGCTGCGTAAAACGACGAACCGTTGGACTCGGCGTGTCTACGACGTCGCAGTCGTCGAAGATGCAATCGCGACGTGTTCGTTTCACAGAACGCAGGAGACCGAGAACGGAGTGGCGGTAGAAGTAGAGGGATGCGGTATGAGCGACGGGGGTAAAACTGCGTCCCGGCTGCGATATCACGTTGCTCGCGTTTAAGGGGGGGGGATTGAGGGCACGCCCGTTTGCATTCGCGACGAGTCTCCCACATGGTTAAGCGCCCTCGCCGAGTGGCGTTCTCTCGTTAGCTGATGCGTCTGACGCTAAGTGCGTGACTACGCCGTATAATCTATAACCGACGCGTATAATTGGAGACACCCCCCCCCGCTATTTATTTTTCGTACTTACTCTCCATTGTTATTAAATCACCGCCGAGTCAAAATTCGTACGGCTTACGCACGCTTTACGAATTATTTTACATGTTTATTTGTTTGGCGTCGATGTGCCAAACATATCCTCTTTAATTCAGTTTAGATTAATTTAATTCTTTAAAATTCGTCAAAATTATTTAAAGAGAAAAACGCATTTCCCATATTTTCTCCTTATAAAATAAATTCTCTCTGTTATTGTAAAAATTACAAATAATAAAAATTAAATCTAAAGCGTAAGAAACCTGTAGAATGTGTATTAATTGATTTCTTTACTGATTTCTCAATCACCTCATTTCTCATTTATTTTAATCAATCTTGGATTACTATTATATTCCTTATAAATTTGTTATTTACATACATGATTAATTATATTTATTTTAATTACCGCGTTAGCTAATTCTCATTATTATATAATTATCGCATATCCATTCCTGCCAGTAACATTACCGCTAATTAATGTACTCTCCTTGTGTAAGAGGAATTTGACGCCCAAGAGCACAGTAAACATTTTAACTATTTATGATATTATTGATCCTCTCTTAATACCTGTTATACATCGCATGGTAATTACTAATATATTGCATTTTAAATGTTTTTCGTGGTTTTACATGCAATGCGCAAAATTCCTTATAATTTTAATCTATGCAAATTAATAATGCAATAGAAATTGTACTTTATATAATATCTCCTTTAATTTCTTCCAGTATTACTATTTCAGTCTTAATCAATTATTTATTTCTTTTCTAAATTCAACTTAATAATATTTGTCATCTAACTTGGCTACATCATAATTTAAAATCATATGTAATTTTATTAACTATTTCTTCTCAAGAAACTAAATTTGAATTTATAAAAAGATAGAAGGTAAATTCAAAAAGTAAATTTAGTGTCAAACTAACGGACTTTGGAACGTTAGTACGACAAGAATAAATATTGAACCAGATAGGAAAGCGGCAATTTCAATCCATCTATATTAACATTGAAAATATGCAAAGAATAATCATGGCGTGTCCAACATTTCAGGCAATAAAAAATGTGCAATATGGAAGCGACGCCTTGATTTGTGCGAACGTCAGGAGGACGTCCTAAATTTTTTTCGAGCACGGGTCAGCGATAAATCCTAATTTTTTTATCGCGAATCGTAGATTATCCGGCAATGTACACAGCTCGCACGCTTTTAAGTAGGTCAGTGTATCATTTTATTCGCGAAAGAGCGTTTTCGCTCGTAGTAAACGCGGCTCGTTCGGCTGGGACTTTAAGAGAATTTAAAGCCCCGCATCCCCGCGAGGAAATGATCCGTTGCCGTACGGACGAAGAATGGTTTTGGAAAGCCCGTTTTCGTGGCCCGTTACCGCCGCGACGATTCCGCGGCTACATTTTACGACGACGCGGAACATCGCAATTGTATACCGTTAAAACTAAAATATCGCCACCGAGATAAAACCGCAGCTCCTTCAAACGGGATGCCGTTTCTCTTTCGCCTGGGGATCACAGTTTTCTATCCCCGACTTGTCTCCACTGAGCTGCGTTCATCAGTAACTCTGCCCCAAATCCACTAAAACTCGGTGGAATATTCAACTGTGATTAGAAACATAAAGATATCGCATGAAAAATTTACACGGAAGTCATATTATTCAAATATTATACCCGGAAAACTATTGTCCGAAAACTATTGTTAAAGCATTTATAAAATAAGCTATTCATGGTATGTTTACTATTGAAAAGCTGTAAGAAAAATCGAATTCGCCTTCCGTATAACGAAGTTAACAACTCGCTGGATTAAATAAAGCACAATATTCTTGCCGTCCATCGAAATTTATGCGGCGAAATTGCTCTCGACGGTCCTGTTGCGTTATGCAAAACGTGACACTCTACGTAACTCGATAATGTCACAACGAAAAGAAATTCGCGGTCGTGCAAGAAATGCTATTTACGACGATGCAGCTGCAATCAGACGTCGGAGAAATCTGTTTACAGCACTGCCAGTGGTTTCTGCCCGAGACGACTCTCTCAACTCGCAACCCCGTAGATGTGAAATCCAATAATAGTGTGCCGACCATTCGCCATACGCTCTCTTTCAAAAATCCGTTTTCCACACGTAATCGTCCATATCCGTTTTTATGGAGAAAAAAACGCTTAGAGTAAAAATAGACTCGTTTCGGCACAATATTAAAAAGATGAAACTCAAAGTTACACATTACACATATCACAAAGATGAGATAAAAAGACTGAAGAATACGTGTCAGCGCAACGTGTAACTTGCGTAATTATTTGCTGGTCTGATATAGATAAAGCTAATTAGAAATTTTAGTTTCTGAAAGTTCTTTGAAAGGACATTAATTACTTGTTGGCTAATCGATGGTTAATGACATACGTTTTGTCACAAGCAACATCGTTATTTAATGTCACAAAACTCGTATGAAGCCACACGCAAGTTCGTTTTAGTTGTGAAACAGTTTTAGTGGCGAGCAATTTCGGAGTTAGAGTAAACGACGGCACAAAGAAATCTTCGCGATCTTATTAACCGTGCGCGACGGCAAATAAATATAAAAATGCATATGTCGCGAACACATTCCGCGCGCAAAAGGGGGACCGAAGTGTTTTTCGCGGATAAAAGCGGAGGTGCTTTCAAGCTCGAACGGTGATCCGGATTTTATGGGGTTGCTCAATAAAGACGATATTTACGAGGATCGAATTGGCTGTCGAGCGAAGTAACGTATAACAGATGGAACGTGGGGCCGATTTGTGGCTTAACGAAATCCTTGCCCCATCGTAGTCTCCTCGTATTCGAGGCTTTCGAATACATACGCGACGACGTATCGGAACGGTAAACTAACAGGATATACAAGCAACGAGATCGGAAACGTGGAAATCGAAAGGTGGAGTGCACTGTCGCGAGTCTGGAATTTCTTTCGGACATGAAAGTGAGGTCGTGTTCACAAAAGACTAAATATTAGAAACATAGGTACACAGCGCAAAGTAAATATAATATATTTGCCGAAGGATGTTTGATCGTTTGTTATAAAAATCAAGTAAGATATCTAAAACGTAAAATAAATGAAGAAAAAAATTCAATAAAAGTATATATATATATATATATATATATATTAATTATGATATAGTTATCACTTTTCAAATAACAAGTTGTATGCTGCGATAATTGTTTAATTGCAAGAATGCTGCAGAATTTAAAGTGTAATACGTTTATCGAAAGATGTAAAAATATAAGTAAGATATCTGGAACGCAAGAATAAAATAAAAAAATTTCATTAAAAGGATTTATATTGACTATATGACACAGCTATCGTTTTTTAAATAACAACTGTGTTTTATCAAGAATTTGCGATTAAGCGCGTTGCGCAGAATATGCAGCAGGAAAATGCAGTACATAATACTATTTTAATAATAATGATGGAGATTTACCAAAATTAAATTTAATTCAAAATGAGTAGCCAACAGTACTGATGATTATTGACGATGATATACCCGCAGCTTGAATCGACACCGACATATTCGACATATGTCAATACAAGAAGCTAGATCGCACGAAATGTCGATAGCATTAAATTTACCCGGTGAATTTAATTAACTACTAAATTATTTTCATGTAAAATTCCGATCGGAGATGCGTTCTCTGCGACGGCTCTCAAACAGCGTTCACCGAATATCCATATTAAAACGAGTAATATCACGGGCTGCCACTTGACATAGCAATATCAATAAAGACCGGACAATGCCGTCGCGGTAATAACCGAACGAAGTTATTGCAAATTATCATTTTATTCCGCAATTTGATATGCGATCGTAACATGGCGCAAATGACTCGTGACGTTTACTCGATAACGGCGTTATTTCGTGACTGACGCATGCCCTTTCCTTCGCGACGAGTAAATCAAAACGACATGTGTAACGTAACATTGTGCACACGTAATCGCCTTGCAACGCATACGTAACGCGTGTCTTCTTACGTGTCTACAACGAGGCAGAACGTGGCAAAGCTATTATTCTTCATGCATTCTCAGAGATGCTCCTTTGAATAATTTTAGCTCAAGTGCTGCAAGCCACTTCTATTTATATTTATATACAATGAAAATTAGGTTTAAAAATTGATAAATTACGTTAACGCAATTCTCATTACGTATAAAAAGACGCTAAGATGCCAACGATTTATTTTTAGAAATCTTTAGAGATATCTATGATATATCTCTCGCGTGCAACTGCAAGATCTACGTATTTGCCACGCTGTCCGTGGGTTACGACGGGTTCTTCGAACGGTTAAGGCCGCTTAGAATCTATGGCGCCATAGAGATTCGCGTCGGGACTAGGCGAACGAGCGCTCCGGGGGCCATCGTTCATAAATATCAATGTGGCTTACCTGTACAGAGGTTCGCCGCTGTCCTCTTTGAACCAGAGCACCATGGAGACAGCGTCATTCGACTCGCGGGGCTGTATGTTACACGGCAGAATCGCCCTCTGACCCGCCACCCCCTGTATCGACTCCACGGGTACTGAAACACACATCGATGTCTCGTTCAGAGGGACGTTCCACTTCGCCGTCAGAAAACGAAGAATAATGAAGCAAAGAGGAATCGTCGGATAATAAAGAGTTATGGATTTTTTAGACGGCCTATAACAATCTTCGAATCCCCCGAGAGGATGTCGAAGCCTCTTTCTGATCTTTCACCGACAAGATATTTCGAGATCATATCATAACTTCATTTTTATCGCGTGATATGTATATTTTCTCTCGCGAAATATTCAAATATTATATGATTTTCTTATGATTACTTAATATTAATGTCAAAGGAATCATTGTACATTCTTGTCTACCCATAAAATTTGTGTGACATTATTTTAAAATGATACTATATTTTTAAATTATGAAAAAACTCTACCTAAAAAAACTCTGGCTACCCCATCTGGCAGATTTTACATAATTTAAACATAGTATCATTTTTTGAGCCTATATTTCATTTTGCGACAAAATATATTGCGAAATATTTATGCATATTTTTCTCTCTCATATATATTCAAACTATTTATATAAATAAATTCAAGTTTCTCAAAACATATTTTTGTACATTATCTGCGCTTGCTAGATTTTGTTCGCCTTTACAAATATTTTTATTCAAAAATGAAATATTATATTTTATTGTTATACAAATATAATAGAGTTATAATAGATATATTTTATAATATAAATGCGTATCACAAATATATCTATAAATCTTTAGAGCGAATCATATTAATATGTGAATTATAATGTGGTTTTCGAAAGAACAACCAGCGACAAAATTAATTCGAGCATAAAGAAAACCGATTACATCACTTAAAATAGCTCCTTAAACACGGTTCACGACACTTTCTGCTTCACTGCTCGACCGCTCGCTCGTCGTCAGGCATTTCTGACAATAATGCAGATTTTTATCGAGCAACCTCCTTTCATCTCTCACAAAGATGAATAATCCGCTGGCGTACTCTTTTTTAATCTTTACTCGCGATAGGAATTTTTTATTTATGCTAATAGCAACGTCATTTCGTTGTGGCTAATGAAGCGTGATCTTTGATCTTTCACGCAAAGTGTAATGAGGTATGCTATTTGTTAATTAGTGGCAAAAGTTTTTTGTGATATCGAAAGATGTATTCGCTAGTCATTACGAGATATCCATTAAAATTAAATCCAAACGGAAAAATGAGGAATGAAAAAAGATAAAAAATTTTAAAATAAAATATTTTATTATTAATAATATATATTATTATCACTGTTATAATCGAGAAATTATTGTCCTTTTGATTTCGTTTAGCATAGAAATTTAAATATGTATATATTATATACACATAGAAAATGAATTGCGATATCAATGGAAAGAGACAATAAACCGTATCATTATTCCGACTATTGTCTAAACTTTTATAGTTACAGGCATGGAAATGTGCTCGTACAATAGACACGATTCAGGGAATTCGTGGGCGATTTTACATTTTATTTTTCCGCGAGGATTCGAGATGAGAGTTCCGCGAGAGGGAGGATTGGCGGCGCCATGACTGGTCCCTTTCTCGTCCGGAATTCGCTCAAGTCGACAAGAGAACGGCCCCGTGCATGCATTCTCGTTGCGGAAACACGTATCGCATTTATGCCGGCGTTACAATGACTTTATGCAAGTACGTGTTCCTTCGGAAGCTGGGAAAATTCGCAACGTAAGAACTACCGATCTCGGCATACGATTGCACACGCATCATGATATTTGAGACTGTTCAAATTTGCCCATTTTGCCGCGAAAAAAGACCTAAGATATTTTAACGTGCTCATAAAGTACCGTAAAATTTTCCGTCAAAAATTTTCCGATGCGAGAAAGAAAAGTATATTGAAAGAATCTCAGAGGTACTCCAGTCTTGGCTTTTAAAGCGCAAGCATGTTGTACAATTAAAGTACATTTACATAAAGTAGTTTCCGGAATTTTCGATCTTTTCACTTATTGCGGACTTATTGACTTTTCATTAACCCGAGCCCGAGACTGTCTGCAGTCGATGAGAAACTTTGCTTTCCCTGTATAAGTATCCCATAGACCAGCCAGTACAGTTTCGAATCGAGAAAAAAAAAAATAAAGCTCTGGTTACAAACAGAGTAGAGGTCGGAAAACACTTTTAAATTACATACATTGTATACATGAACCGCGAATAGTTGAATGCTGAACTGAACTCGTATAATTTCGTATACGTTCGAATGAGCGCAAGCAGCGGCAAGCAGTAATACGCAAGAACATACGTTGTATACGTGGAAATGCGGGTATCGCAATATTTTATGATACGATGTTCTGCTTCGGAGGGATTTATAGTTGCGGTTGATATGATCTCGCGAAACGAAATATCGCCATCTGCCAAATAAAAGCGGCGACGGCGGCTGCGGCGCAGCAACAGTTGCATCTGAAAGGTTGCGATGTCGCCGTCGCGGGATTTTTACGCTTCAAAGTTTCTAGCCGAATATATAACGAGCCATCGATATACGAATCACACGCCGTACTATCGGGATGCTAATCCGACAGTTATCCGAGACTCCGGATCTCGAGGTCCCTCGAACTCCATTTTATAGAGCTGCATTCGCGAGATTCGACAAGGAAAAAGACATTGCGCATCTCAACGAGCGATGATGAGCAAAGGGTTCTACAAATTGCACGCGAGATTGTCTCATGGACAATAAAACTGACTTGGATTACATTCTGGAAGACGTGGTTGAGGCTAAGACGTGGTTACAAGATTTGCTTTCGCAGTCACTCGGAGGCGAAACGTGTTTCCGAGTACGTGCATCCCTTGCGAATGCTTGACGTGAATTGTTCTTATGTCAAACTAACATCTGACTATAGAGAGCATTGGTAAACAATTGCGTTTTTTGCTAGCTATAATTTTTTTATCGATTTTCATAATAAAAACTCGATTACTGATTCATTTTTTAAATTTTCAAGTACCTTAGTAAATAAATGTTCAATTTTATCAACAAACTTATTAATATGTTTTTAATATTGATTTTATATTGATATACATAATATTATAGATATTTCGAAGAAGAAACTTTTTCGTAAATAAAAAATAAATAAAAAATGTTATTGATAGAACGATGATTATGACTGTTTGCAAGCTTCTCATCGACAATTTATAGCGACGCATACTGTTTATCAGACAAAATTAATTATGTGTGCAAACTTCGTTATCTAATAACAAGAAGGGAGAAGTTACATTTTATTTTAATAGCGCCGCATTATAGCTAGCCGTTGGACGCCGTGTTAAGCCGCGATTTAAATTAAATTTCTCGTGGAACAATGACGCTCTACATGCACGTTGTCGAGCGGAAGTGCCGGCCAAGCTCTGCCGGTGACACTTCCGTTGACTGGTGTAATTAACAAAACCGGAAAACCGCGAAGGCTAGCTATTCGCCAGAAGACTGTTGTTTGAGATCACCTGCCGCGAGATTCTCTGATGGATTTCTTATTACGTAATTACCTTCCTGCCAGACCCTGGCGCGCAAAACGAGCGACTCCGACTAAATATCGCTCTTTGTTTATTTTCCGGAGCGCGAAAAAGGAGAGGGGAGGGGAGAGTGTTTGCCTTCTTTTGACTGCTTTGAGCGTTTGTTTGTATTAATTATACGCGTTTGTGACGCAATGAAATTTCTAACGGCAAACTTCGATGTTTAACGCCGTGTCCTTAATTAAACGGAAGAAAGGCAGCATAAAGTCATTAAAATATTTTCCTCGCCTACTTTTCTCTTGTTTGAATACATAATTTATTATATTTATCGTATATCGTTGTAAAATTGTAAAAACAAGATTTAATTTGGAATATATTTTGAGATACGGGTTAATTTTGATAGTATAAATATTAATATAATTTCTTTCAGCATAAAAAATTAAATAGCCAATTGTTTTGGGCTAAACTATAGGGAAATTGATGTAACTGAAATAAAATAATATTAAATTAAATGCTTTACTACTGATTCTACTACTGTAGTTCCGCTTTGTAGTGTTAAGGAGAATCCTTCGCAGCGCCAATCGAATAATCATATTTCATGGCATCCTCGAGCTCGCAAAGATCTGGCTGTGACACTCTCTTGCGGCACCGAGAAAAAGGAAGAGAAAAGGGTACAGAGGCAGGGCAATTAAAATGCGGCCTGAGCACAAAGGGCACGAGACCTCCCGAAATTTCCACCCCCGCACGTCCCACTTTTGTAGACATTTCTCAGCCGGTAATTGCCTTCCGGCCCGTGCGCACGAGAATAACGGACGGAAGGAATGGACCGCATGAAATATCTTTTCCATACCTTATACCCATGCTGGCGAAACAGAGAGAAAAGAAAGAACGAGGAAGAAGGATAGATGCTTAAAAGAATAAAGATGGAAGATAGATTCAGAGAATTAAGTCATGGTTATCTTAATTACCTGAGTTTCTAGATGCCAATCTTGAAGTTTTAAAATCTATTATAAATATACACGACGTATTTATCAAAGTTAAAAATAGTTTAAAATACCTAAGAAATTTCAATTAAATATATTAAATATCTTAAAATATTGTTTAACTTTACGCTATTTTAAAAATTATTAAATAATTTCCTGTGATTAAATAAATTAAAAATATTGAGAAATATATTGAAATATTTCGTATCATTCATATGGACTTTTTGAAAAGATTGAATTGGTTTTTTGACTTTAATAATTTCTATTAAATAAATTTCTATTCATATATTTGCGTTATGAAATCATGTTGCTTCAAATGAGAAATAATCAATTGCAAATATAAAAAAAATTTGTCCCCACATAGAACGTTCATAACTGTCGTCAAAATTGGAGAAATCGAAAAGCCCCCCATAATTCTTTCGGCGTGCGAGAACCGTGTGCGCCGATTGCGCCCCGATCGATGGGGTCTTGGAATATATCATTTTTCAAATAATCGATAACAATGTGACGGCAGCACAAACCTGCGCATGTAAGTCAAAATCGATGATTCGGTATTATTCGGT